AGAATAGTACTTTTTTTAAAAAAAAAAAATGTACATTACTTTTCAATTATGTTGATAAAATTAATGAAAAAAAAAAAAATAAGACAAACAACAATGATATAGTGAAAACATTTTAAACATGTTTTTAAATTGTTGATCATTCATTCATAATTTAAATAGGCAATAAATTAGAGTCATTTTTTTTTTTTTTCTTTTTCCTAAATAAGTTTCTAATAATTCTTTTTTTAACCAATGAAAACAAACGTGAAACAAACTATTCCCCATGAATAGGCAAAAACCCAATATACACCTAACCACCACAGTATTTATCTCGGTTTGCTAAGAAAGAAAGATTTATATTCACAATAAAAAATGTTTAAAAAACGAGAGATAACCATAATGCAAAAAAACAGCGAAATGCTACAGTTTCGTTACGGAACCATTCCGTGGGAATTTATAACCATTAAGTCATCATGTAACCGTCGTGGATAGTTGATCTAACGGTTACAAGTCCCAACAAAATGATTCCGTAACTGGACTGTAGAATCTCGTGAAAAAACAAAACAAAACAAAAGGGGAAGCAATGAAAATGAGGTAAGAAGCGGGGCAACTTACTCGATTGAAAACCATGAAACCGAGGTCAAGTGAAGTGTCGTCAATGGTGACAGTCTTAGCATGGCCGCCCAAGTAATCTTCCTTCTCATAAACCACCACCTCAGCGCCGCCCTCCGCCGCCACGTACGCCGCCACCAGCCCGCTTACTCCCGCCCCCACCACCGCCACTCTCATCTTTCCTTTCGTACTACTAATTTTAATTTAGTGTTCCCCGAAAAATAAATCTAGAGAGAGATGTTACACAACAAGAGAGAGTGTGAGAGAGAGAGAGAGAGAGAGAGAGAGAGAGAGAGAGAGAGAGAGAGAGAGAGAGAGAGGAAGGTTTGAATTGTCAACGATGTGGGAGAGAAAACATTTTCGTTATCACAATGCCGTTCCTATAGATAAGGTTTTTTTTTTGGTACAGGACCTTCCGGTTTCCGAATCCACAGAGAAACTGACTAATCCGAAATCGAGCTGGGTAGGACCTATAGATAAGGTTTTACCTTCGCTTGTAATTTACTTTTTATTTTGACAACAAATTAATATTGTAAAAATATATCAGATGGGGTATAATTTGTTTACCTAAACCCGAAGCCCAAATAATGTTATGAAATATGAACGACAGTGTCGGCGGCACCTCTTAGTAGGATGATAGAAGCTCAAAAGTTCCAAAGGACATATAAAGGTGGGTTGGGGCATAGCTATAAATATTTTTTATGGTTAGACCTGAATTAGTGCGGTACCTGTGCGATACACGAGCTAATTTTAAAGTAAGAATTTATATTTAGATATGATTGAAAAACGTAAAAACCATGTATTTGAATAAAATAAAATGTAATTTATATATTATTAAACATAAAACAATGTACCTCTGTGAAAACTGTATCTAAGAAAATAAACACTTGATACTTATATATATTAAGATTCTAAATAGGCTTAAAAAAATCAATTAAATTATTTAGCATGATATATATATAATATAATTTATACTATTCTTATGATTATTCCATAGTCATATATAACGGAGATTGTAAAACGTCTTTCTTAATAATATATAGTCTTATTATTTTATAATTGTAAATTACTTAATTTATTGAAGGAGAAATTTGTGTACATGTATGCAATCAATTTCAAATTTGTATTATATAAGATTAAACAAAACCCAAATTTTTAGGATATTTCAATCCGATTTCATTTTGAATTAATTAATATTATCTAACTCTGTTTTTTGTTTAAAAAAAATCTGAACTAAAGAAAGTAGTAGCTAAATAATATGAGATTTTAAATTTTAATTATAAATTTGAAATTGGGCCGATTTCTATGGACTTTTAAATATATAATAAAAGTTATAATTCCATTGACCATCGGCCGGCTGCCCTTTGATCGCTGGCCAAAGGCGAACTGAGAGTTGGAGACCAAGGAACTCAACTCTATTCACAGCCCGCCTCATTTCCACATGTTGTTGCCACCTCAACGAGCTGGCCACCAGAATCTCTGGTCCCGAATCTGTCGCCGTCGTCTGTGACCCCCTCCAGAGCTTTAGCGATGCAGAATGGTGGTCAGATGGAGAAATTCGCCCGCCTAGAAGTGCAGAAGCTGAATCTGATTCAACAATTGGATTTGGGGCTAGATCTCGATTTCTGATTCAACAATCCTATTAAACAATCACCAGCATGGAACTATGGTCCACTAAGATACTTCAATTCGCCGTTGAACTCTTGGGATTTCGTTAGCGTCCTGCAATTTTCGTTGGTGATAACTTGGTCGTCAGGTAGCTCGTAATTCTTCTTGACTGTGGGCCTCGCACGAGAGACTTTTATCTTCTACTCAAAGTCGAGGGTGATGTAAGCGAGTTTCTCTTTCATGTCGGGCACGATTTCTGACCGCGCTTCGCAACGCGGTAACTTAGAATTTGTATTTTTCCTTAAACCAATCTCTACAAATTAGC